AACTGTACACCTGGTGGTTGGGTCGCAGGCGAAAATCCTAGGTTCCATTACCGTGTGAGGACAGAAGCGTTGAGGCAACATACCATATACTACCATGTATGCTATAATATTACCGTGCAAGTCATAATACCATCATGAATGGTGGTATTATGGTTTCATAATGGCTCACATTATGAAACGTCAGAATAGTTAAATTACAATACAAGAGAAACAACCAAGGCTTCTAGGGGGGATAGTATAAAGAGCAAGACCTCACTTTCCCGTAGTAAATTTATCTGAATTTACCCGAGGGCAACATTCTAGTGGCTTCGTGGAGGACAGGAAGCCTAACAAAGGCCCACAGTAACCTTCATATCTCACAATTATTTTTATCATTAGTATTATACAATAGAATGCATTCTGTATCCGAGAGGGCTAGGATTGCAGGGGAAGGTTGGAGAACCCGGCAGGTGTGGAAGGTGGTGCAGGGAAAGGCTGGAGAACCCGGCAGGTGTGGAAGGTGGTGCAGGGTGTGGGTGAAAGTTGGCTCGGACTCCAGACATTGTTTACACCCACGCCTCCTTAGTGAGAGTGTGGGTGGGTGGGGGCAGTTGAAGTTCGCTGTACCGTTATCGGGTTCACTCTCGTTCATCCTTGCTCACTCTTATCAGTACCGTATCTCTTAAGCTGGTTCTAATTCGTTGTGTGCTACAATTGCTCAAAATCACACTAGGCTCCGTTGAATAGCCTCTTATAAATAACGTTGCTTTTTTTCGCTCGTATACGAAAACGTTTTCGTATGCGAAAAGGACAGTACGTCACTTTCGCGAGCCGCTACTATTTTCTAGTACGGCCATTTTTAGCCTTAGTGCGCATACAAATCAAATGTTTATTCAGGTAAAAGTACATACATAATAGATGAGTTACAAACATAATGTTGAATTTCTAGATAGAGCTAGTACATACAAAGTCTAAAGCCACTAATAACGCACAGCGTTTCGGGCAATACGAGCGAAAAGCGACATTATTTGTAAGAGGACGGGTTGGTTCCCCCCTACCTCACCCTAACACCAGCCACCCAGTCATATAGTATATAATATCCCATTGTCGAAGGCATATAGCCTGTGGCTTTTCTAGAGCAACCAAATTGACTACAAGCCACACCCAACAGTGCTTAATCAACTGGCCGAGTGACTGGCAAATCATCCCGTACACCACTTCTCACGCCAGTTTCTTCCAGAGAAAAGATGCAAGAAATTTCAACCACAATTGTGATATTAGTTGGCTTATTTTCCCAACCAATACGGCGGAGGAAAACAGCAGGAGCTTTCATATAGAGTTCTCTCTATAAGTTGTTTCTACTAATATTTACTGCAGGGAGACAACAAGGAATACCCTTCACTCTACACACACTGGAAGATACACTGCTTGTGTATCTTTCTCACGCACGCATCAATAGAACAAGTGAGCATGGATGAAAGCTTGAGAATCAGATGAGCAACAGAGATGTTAGAAAGTTTTGAGCGCAAGAGTAGTGGAATGAGCCAAATGTACAGATTGTAGGAGTGAACTCCATTCATAATTTAACAAGTATATATATGGTATAGAAATAGGTCAGAAGTCATTGCATTAGACAACCGGCGGATAAGTGGCGGGGTCCAAGAGCTAAATCTCGATCCTGAAGGCACAAACAGGTGAATACACACGCGCGCACACAAAACGAACAAAAAAAAAACAGTTGGTATTTTAAAAAGATTTACAAGATGAAACCATTATGAAATTTCACTGCATTAATTGAATGGAAGCTGGCGAGGTGGGGCTAAGGCTAGGTCCAGCAGCACATCTAGGTTTCATCTCACTCCACAAAGCTGACAAAAAAGAAGTAACCGAGCGAGTTAAACCAAATGTGCGAGGAAGCAGCAATAAGGATTAACATAGTGCCATAGGTCAAGGACCAATCTAAGATATACTGTCATATCACGAGGAAATTGATGTTAAATAGGCAAGTGATATGACGAAAGTAACCGCAAAACTTTCAATTATTAAGAAGTCCACGAAGAGCTCAAACAAAACTATGAGAGGTAAAAGATACATATCTTTTAAGTGGACGTGTAATTGCTTTGTGCATCCTGGATTGGGACAGAAATATATTTTGCATTAAAATACCCAACCTAACCTAATCAAACCTAACTTTATCTAGCATACCATAATCCAACCTGATGCGCAATTGTCGGACCGTCCTTGTCTCTCAACTGTGGGGTCCAAGGTTCGATCCTCCAGTGGGTCAGATGTTTCTAGTTTATCTAGACGTAAATAGTTGCCTAAGAGGCAACTGTTGTACGTTTCGTCGACTATGGGAAATCATAAGGGTAAACCATATACAAATACAATTTTAAGAAATAGAAAACGATATGTGCGAAATGTCTGTAAACTGGCCTTCCTCAAGTCACTTCCTCAGGATACATCCCACAACAGATGACTAACTCCTGGGTACCTATTTACTATTAGTGAACAGAGACATTAGGTGAAGGAAAACATGACCCCAACGTCTCAGTCTGTCTGGGAATCAACACTGGTTCAATCGCCTGAAAGCTGACTATTCTCAAGAACCAGCTTCTCTCGCAAACCTTCACTACGTCATCGCCCCCTCCCAAACCACTCAAGGATAATAAGCCATTAATGTTACGAGGCAGGAAAATCACTTGAATACAACCACCATAATTATATTATTATTGCCAGTAATTAAACATTGCTGTGTTGCTGGAAAATTAAACAGTAATTAAGGACGCGAGGCTTGTATGTACTACGTAGTAAGAGATGACATGGTGTTCCAGTGTTTCTCGTTTTGTGGTGCAGAGGCAAATGAGCCAAATGTATGCATGTCTGCAAAGAATCCGTCTGCAAAAGATTGAAGATTGATGATGAGAATAAAGTCGAGACAAGAGAGAATAAGCAAGAGAGACAAAAAGGAAAGTGTATGAATAGCCATGAAAATAGATGCAACGGAAATTAGCAATCAAAGAACGAATATTCTAATTTCTAAACCCCTTAAACTTTACGCAATCTACTAAACACAACAAATCGGCCTGCAAATACCTTTCTTCATTCAGGATCTGCTACCTAAAGTTGTGAATCCTAGGCTAGCGATCCACACACACGATACGGTATCAATCTACAGATTAGAACATACTGGAACATAGCCTTATTGCTATCAGACGAATTGAATAATATATTGCTAGTAGGGGAGTAGGGGTTCCTTCTAGAAATACTTTTTAGCCTAGCGGGAGCCTTCCCCGACAGTTAAAACTAGTGCAACATGGACAGTGAGCTAGCCCTCGCTTCCCTTACTCACTGGTAGGTGAGTACACAGCAAAAAAGTGAAATTGACATCTTAAAGGACGTATCCACTCCCCCTCCACATCCCTCAATATCCAAGTGGAGTAAAGCCAATTTTATTTTTTTTTTTTTATTTCGCCACGCGTCAAACTATTCACAATCTCCTAAATTGTAGCCAACAGCACAAATTAAATCGTTAATTAAAAGCAAGAGTGTGTGTTCATCCCCCGCTCTCACACTCTCTTTTCCTCCATCCCCCCCCCTCTCTCTCTCTTATCATCCCTCCCCTTTCACCCCCACTCTCTTCCTCACTCTCCATGTCTCCCTTCATTCCATCCCTTTGACAGCAGAGATGGGGATACCTAGGTCTAATTCAACTTCATTTTTGTTACACGCTAATTTGGCTGCAATGTCTGTCATTATGATTGGTTATATTTGTGTGTGATGGTATCCATACAAAAGAGATTCGAAACCCTTTACTCCGTGCAGCAATTAGGTCATAGGTCAGCTAGTATCAGGTTCTTGCTGTCGATTGGCCCTTGCATAGTAGGCCGAGTACGACGTTTTGGCTACTAGGTACAACATATATATATATATATATATATATATATATATATATATATATATATATATATATATATATATATATATATATATATATATATATTATATATATGTCGTACCTAGTAGCCAGAACGCACTTCTCAGCCTACTATGCAAGGCCCGATTTGCCTAATAAGCCAAGTTTTCCTGAATTAATATATTTTATCTAATTTTTTTCTTATGAAATGATAAAGCTACCCATTTCGTTACGTATGAGGTCAATTTTTTTATTGGAGTTAAAATTAACGTAGATATATGACCGAACCTAACCAACCCTACCTAACCTAACCTAACCTATCTTTATAGGTTAGGTTAGGTTGCCGAAAAAGTTAGGTTAGGTTAGGTAGTCGAAAAACAATTAATTCATGAAAACTTGGCTTATTAGGCAAATCGGGCCTTGCATAGTAGGCAGAGAAGTGCGTTCTGGCTACTAGGTACGACATATATATACACACATATAAACAACTCTATGGAAAACAAATTCCAAATTTCAGACTTCATCGAAATTGCAGGGGGTAGATTAATTTTTTTTTTCTATTTTGCCCTGAGGGGCGAGTTTATTGGGCAGCGCCACTCATCCTGTGAGTGGACATACCGCCATAGCAGCATGTACAAGCCTATTTTTTTAAAGGGGCAATGTTGCCAACCTCAACGAGCTCTGTTTTTTGCAGGTATTCTCCTGCGCGGGCGCTAATCTTCTGGGTGGCTTTTTGTTACTTGTTTCTCATTTCTGTCTTGCTTAGGCGGTGGAGGAGTATTTATGACTTGTGTTGGCTTCAGTAATATTATGGCCAATGTGTTTAACATTAGCGCTGTTTCATCTCGGTTGACGCTATTTTTAATTGAGGTCCTCCAACCTTCGACAATCCTATTTTGTCGACATCTTATTTTATAGACAGACTTTATTTTCTTTCGGTGCAGAGCCTAATGGAGTCGCGCTCAGCTCTGTACTTTGTTTATTATATGTTTATATACAAGCTCAAGTGTTGGTCTTGAGTTGGATGTACATAGCATTCAGATGATCTCTATCAAGACTCCGTGAGGCTACAGATCTCTGCCAGTCTGCAGGCGTTATTGTGTCAATGTGTTCCTCAGGCGACAGTTTTGGTGTTAATATACTCCCAGATTCTTCTCTCACCCCTGCCAATCTTACAGGGCCACACTACCCCGAGGCACTCCCAGCTACAGGGCCACACTACCCTGAGGCACTCCCCGCTACAGGGCCACACTACCCCGAGGCACTCACCGCTACAGGGCCACACTACACCGAGGCACTCACCGCTACAGGGCCACACTACCCTGAGGCACTCCCAGCTACAGGGCCACACTACCCTGAGGCACTCCCAGCTACAGGGCCACACTACCCTGAGGCACTCCCAGCTACAGGGCCACACTACCCTGAGGCACTCCCAGCTACAGGGCCACACTACCCTGAGGCACTCCCAGCTACAGGGCCACACTACCCTGAGGCACTCCCAGCTACAGGGCCACACTACCCCGAGGCACTCCCAGCTACAGGGCCACACTACCCTGAGGCACTCCCCGCTACAGGGCCACACTACCCCGAGGCACTCCCCGCTACAGGGCCACACTACACCGAGGCACTCACCGCTACAGGGCCACACTACCCTGAGGCACTCACCGCTACAGGGCCACACTACCCTGAGGCACTCCCAGCTACAGGGCCACACTACCCTGAGGCACTCCCAGCTACAGGGCCACACTACCCTGAGGCACTCCCCGCTACAGGGCCACACTACCCTGAGGCACTCCCCGCTACAGGGCCACACTACCCTGAGGCACTCCCCGCTACAGGGCCACACTACCCTGAGGCACTCCCAGCTACAGAGCCACACTACCCTGAGGCACTCCCAGCTACAGAGCCACACTACCCTGAGGCACTCCCAGCTACAGGGCCACACTACCCTGAGGCACTCCCAGCTACAGGGCCACACTACCCTGAGGCACTCCCAGCTACAGGGCCACACTACCCTGAGGCACTCCCAGCTACAGGGCCACACTACCCAGAGGCACTCCCAGCTACAGGGCCACACTACCCTGAGGCACTCCCCGCTACAGGGCCACACTACCCTGAGGCACTCCCAGCTACAGGGCCACACTACCCTGAGGCACTCCCAGCTACAGGACCACACTTCCCTGAGGCACTCCCAGCTACAGGGCCACACTACCCTGAGGCACTCCCAGCTACAGGGCCACACTACCCTGAGGCACTCCCAGCTACAGGGCCACACTACCCTGAGGCACTCCCAGCTACAGGACCACACTTCCCTGAGGCACTCCCAGCTACAGGGCCACACTACCCTGAGGCACTCCCAGCTCATAAGGGTCATACCCTGCATTATCAATAATTACAATGAATAACAATGACAATGTATAATTTATATATTCCCTAATTAAATTTATATAATTCACTTCAATTACATAATTCAAAAGGTATATTCGCCAGGAAATACTTACCGTTAAAATATGAAGTAACGGCGTGGAATACAATACTGGCAGCGCTGGAAATCACAATATTAATAAATAGAAGCGTTTTAAACTGGACTAGAAGAGTGAAAATAGCCGTTAGCAGTCATTGAAAACCACAGAGCAGCACGAGCGCAACCCTCCTCCCTTGAAGGTTGCCGGTACACTGACACAGCCAGCTCTTGACCCCCCAGTTGCAGCGCGTGCCAGATGCCGCCATCCCAAGCGCTTTTAACTACCATTATTCTTACTATTATTCAGTATTATGGGCTACAATTAATCAAATGCGGTAAAATAACACCGGGCAACAAAATTCTTTCCAAAGCTGTCAACTCATGTACCAGGAACGGTCGATCGAGGGCCTCTGGGCTGACAACACTGCAAACTGGGCAGGACAGGGGTGATCTCATTGAAACTTTAAACATATTAAACAACTTGGAGGATATTGATCCAGACCACTTCTTCAAAAGGTCAGATATAACACGAACAAGTAGCAATATATTCAAACTCAATACGCTACAGTGTAGGACAGAAAACAAGAGATGCTTTTGGGTTATAATTCCTGGGAACTGCCTACCCGAAGCTATAAATGCCAAAACATTGCGGAATATTTAAATTTAGCTCGATAAAATCATCAGGAGAAATGGGGAGGGACCTTTGACAAGCCACTGGCTTCCTGTCCTCAGCAAGGCCACTAAAGATATTGTGAACCCCTCAGGTAAATAAATAACTGACATTTTAACATTGGCAACAATCTGTTTTGTGCTTCGAGGTGGAATGGTTGGAAAATAAATTTATTGGGTCCTCCATGGTGCACATAATTTGATTTCTAGGAGACAGGAAGTTTATTTTATGCACGTTAGGCTCATATCGAGATCCCCCCCCCCCGGTCAAATTATTGACCCCCCTCCAAAGGATGAAATGCCACAACCATAGCCTAATTCCCAGCTAGATTCACGAAAGCACTTACGAACGTATACATCATTCCTCAATCTTTGACGGCTTTGGTTACATTTATTAAACAGTTTACAAGCATGAAAACTTCCCATTGAACTATTGTTATTGTTATAAACATCCTCCTAGTGCTTCGGAGCTCATTAACTGTTTAATAATTGGAAACAAAGCCGTCAAAGATTGAGAAAAGATGTGCAGGTTCGTAAGTGCTTGCTTAAGTGCTTTCGTGAATCTGGCCCGTACTGCTAGTATAAGAGGCATCAGGTGAAAGGAAACTTGCCCAACTATTTCTTCCCCCTGGGAACCGAACCTGGAGTTCCCGACTGCAATTCAAGAATGTAGTAAACTGTGTAACAATTTTTTTTTTATTTTATTTTTATTTATGCATATACAAGAATGTACATAAGGAATGTGAGGATACAAGTCCCTTTGTCCCTCAACGTAACCAGGAAATCCACGAGTTAACTGTACGTGCTTGTGGATATGCACATTATCAGGGCGGGTATGTTCATTGTGACAAAAATCAAAATATTTAGGCCATGTAGTGGGGCCAAACAAATCCTGGAATGTCACAGTGGTAGCAGGAAGGAATTCGTGCTAGCGCAGTAATGGCGCCGGGAACCTCAATGAAGGAAGTGGATAAACCAGCATGTCCTAAGGTTTCCTAACTCAAGAAAACGGTAAATTTAATGTGCCCTCTCCTAACCTACCAGAGGGGCCCAAAACAGAAAATGGGACAATGGGTCACTTTCACAAGGCACTTCCATTTTCTAGTACGATAATTTTTGGCCTTATGTAACACATGTCACTAGTGGCTTTACAAGACTGTAATTACCATATTTGTATCCTCACATTCCTTATGTACATTCTTGTATATGCATAAATAAATAAATAAATAAACATACAAGAGAAAAGCGACATTCTTTGTAGGAGGACAGGTTGGACAAACACCACAGTTGTCATGATGCAAGATGAAGCCAGGGACGAGGTAGTCACTACTGTGGGCTTGGGGCTCAACCCAGCAATGGAAGTGGTCAGGAGGAATGGAGAAAGTCAATAGGGATAGTCAGAGATGAAGTCTGGTCTGGGCTCAATGTAGCCAGGGCTATGGAGACCATCCTTCCATTGTAGGCTGACTTGGAGGGCCTGGTCACCCACCCCACAAGTCAGAGAAGAAATAAACTCAAGTTAACAAAAAAAAGTATCAGATAAAAACTTTACTGTCCAGTTCCTCCACCCACCAGGGAGCAAACATGGAAGGTAAGCACAAGGGAAACAGTACTACTGTATATATGCAAGTCACCAATGCAGGACTGAAAGGTATCCTAGGAACCAATAATGGGTACCAACCCTACAATGCCCTGCCCACTTGATCCAAATGTCTAACTAGGCAGGAATAGCCAGATGAGCCAATTGGTTCAGGTGGACCGTACTGAACCTCCCGTTTTACTCCCCGTCCCCTCACCAAAGAAACATGTTCCCAACCCCACAGGGGTTGCAACCAGTGGGCAGGCTCAACTTCCAGATGGGGAAAAAGGGCGTGCAGGTCTCCATACACAGCCAACATATGGGAACAGATCTTGCTTGTGCACCGACAGCAGAAGAGAAAAGCGGGAACTATCCACTTCTACCCGTGGACAGTGCACAAGAACACCCCTTACTACATCAAGACTGACCACTGAGGGGGCACTAGAGAGAATGGTCCTCAGATAAATTCTTGCAGGCAGGTGTTCAATCCCTGATGGTACATGTGGTTGGGTACCATTCCTTCCCTCTAATTTCCCAGCTTCTTGTCCTGATATACCTTCCAAGTGCCATAATCATGCGGATTTAGTCCTTTCTCTTCATAATTACTTTACTTTCAGGTGTACAGACTACTCTTAATTTGAGGTATACATCTTCCCCTACCAAGATGTTTCATAGGTTCAACCATACCCAAAGTGTACTGAAGGCTTGTCTGCTTCCTGACATAATGCAGACACCTAGTGCTTTATTATCTAGAAATATTACTCGAAATTAATACCCCGTTACCCTATTACTAATGTGTGTTAATGACTTTGCAGGAATGTACCAATCAACAAAATCTATACTAACAAAACCCACTGTACCTTGCTGTATATAAATTCTGTGCATGTTCTTTGTGTTGAAAATAAATTTTTATTTATGAGACTATAAATTTCTATGGGATTAAAGAGCATTTAAATCAGCAAGACAAAATAGATTTTTACCTCCAGGGCTTGGCATTTTTTTTTAATATTTGAATAATGGTACCTTAACACATCCAGCACATCTAAAAGGACTCAATGAAACGAACAATTACAAAAAAATAATTTATCACAATGGCCAGATCATTAAATAAATCTATTTCGTACATACTAAGCTTAGGGATAATATAAAACATTAAAAGAACCATGAAAATCAATACTGTACATATGAATCGATGATTAAACTAGTCAGATAACAAGTCAGGATAACTTGCCCCGAATTAGTACTATATATGTTTATTCTATATTTATAGCTTTGATGCCTTGGCCCGTATGAAAATTCCCCATCCTTGAGGGCATGGCCACATGCAAAACTTTGGATATTTAAATTACAGTACCATCGAGTGATGATTCACTCTTCCAAGAGTGCCTGAAATGCTTGTGAAGATAGTACAGTACTGTACTATATTTAAGGCAAGTGAATGATGCAGCTGCCACTAGCTCATACCATGGAAGAAGACTGGTATGAGATTAAATTACAGTACAGAAATAAGATAAAAATTGAGGAACAAAAAAGAATGGGCAATATAAGGGTGGATAAAATATAGTAGGCCATCAAGTGGCAATAGTGTAGATGTTTTTTTCACCCATATGGTTATAAATCCCGAAAATGTTCCAGAGGAATGAAACATTGTAGAAAATAAATCTTTCAATAATTACTAAGAGTTTCTTTACCATGAATTTTGTTATCTTGATTGCTCTTAATATTGATACTAAAAAAATAGAAGCATAGAAAGCTTACACTATCAGAACAACAATACCAGAAATGTAGTCATATTTAACCAAATGTGTTTACAGGAACCTACCCAAGTATATAAAAAAGTATATACAGTATATATACAGTATATATAATCTCATTATATATTGTTCAAAAGAGATTCTTTAAGAAACTTAGCAGCTATGTGCCAGCATAACAAGCTAAGCTTGTATTAAAAATATATTAGAAATAATGAAAGAGCAACTTTAAATTATACATCCCCGAGGGCTGTCTTCGTATTCTCAAATAATACAAGTTAAAATACCTAACATTTCCTATTTTTTCAGAAAATAAACAGTTCATCCATCTTGACTCATAGCAAATAACATACAATATCAGAATTTCTTTAATCCTGCTAGCAATGATATTTACACTACATGCTCTTGGGTGACCAATGGTTCATTAGTAATTTTTAGACCCTAAGGCAAGATTGCCAGGACATTCAGCACTGGATAAATAATGTCCCCAAGAAGAAAAATTACTAATCTTGATGAATTCATAGATGAACACTTTACAATTCATGTTTGTGCATAATTCATTACACCTGGACAGTTCCGTGTGTAATGCAACGGTTTTATCAGTGCCACTTTTCATACTGAAAATAACTCCCTTGTCATCACAGCATACAAAATAGTTAGCAATAAAAAAATTGTATTTGATCTATGAGAACTACAGTAACTGCTAAAAGTATAAGCTACACAAAATGAGCTCAGTAAAAAAAAAAAAAAAAAAAAAAAAAAAAAAAAAGAGTTAACAGTGCCTTCAGGTTCAGTAATGTGCTGTTATCTGGCAAAGAAATGCATAGATTTCACCGCTGTTGTTCCTGGAATGTCGTGCCTAGTCACAATCTTCACATTTGATTTTCTGTTTTGTCAAATTTAAGTGTATATAAAATAGTTCTATGACCATGTCATCTGTCAGTACAATAAGAAATGAATGAATATCATTACCATCTGGTTTGCTGCCAACTTTGCTCCATCATATACATGTTATCATTTAGTTGAAGCAAACCTATCAGTAAAACTGTACATAATACAATATTTACAAAATGGTGTGAATTGGAAGCAAGACTTTTGCATAGGATTCACTTTGTGAAATTGGTGCCATTTTCAACAAAATATTAAAGTTTAGCCAACACCACTTCATTACAGTATATACAATTATCACTTGTCTGAAACAAGTTTTATATTTGATTGGAATTTTTTTCTACATGTTAATATAGCAGTTTTCCATAAGCCGAGATAAAAACAACAATACTGTACTGGTATCAACTACAAAACCAGAGGGAAAGCTAGTATTGAATATTATATATAAGGCTGTCAAACATTGGCAATAAATCCAGCATTGAATGTAATGAAACGCCTCTTTATAGTGGACCCCTCTGGGGGCTCTCTGTTTCCAGGGAGCCCCCGAGGGGTCCATCACAAAGAGGCATCCTTCGCAGAAAATATAATTGATAAGCTGTTGGCTGTAGACTGACGCACTGGATAACATTACTTATTGAGGTTTGCACGAGAACAACTGTAGACTTCATAATACCGACTTCTGGTGTGGGGTAGCTTGATGACATCTGCAGGCATGATGGAAGTCGACCACATGATAATTGGAGTGGTGGAGCACATGTGGATATGTAGATCTACACATTAAGATGCATTGCCACAGATGGAAGCCAGAAAGTCTTTACCCCTTAGTGATGGTCTTCAGGACCTCATGCTGTGACGCATCTCCTCTGTAATACACAACACATCAGATATGGGCAATGATACATGGTATCTAACGAGACCGAGTTGAGAGTGAAACCCTGTGGTTTCTAGCCAAGCTGAAAACTATACAGAATGTAAGGATTTTCTTACAAGTAAATATGTAGAACTTCCTATTTGGGATTCTATTTGCAATTCCTATTTAGGATTCCTCAGTGTGTCTATTAGACCTGAACACTAGTGAGACACTTCAAGTCATAGTATCTGGCCAGCAGAAGCACTGCACTGGACTAATTTTCCTTGACCAGGAATACAGTGAATGCTATGTTGGAGAAGAGAAGATCACCACCACCAGAGATATAAACACTACACAGTACTCTATACCTTACACGTTTCTTCAATGTCTGAAGGATGACTCAAAACAAAGTCATGTTATGAATAAAACCAACTCTAGTGTGAAAGTAATCATAATAATACAGTAATCATAATATGGTAATAATAATAATAATAATAATAATTTATTAAATTCTTACTATTTTTCATGTACATACACAACTTCATATTTAAGAGGAAAATTTACAAAACATCACATGAACTGCTCCTTCAGGTATTCATATGTTTGGGATGACGAAGGTTAAGTATGGTCGAGGGAAATACATTGTTACCCTAGTGTTCAGATGGTAAAGGACAGACTTCAGATCATACTGAAAGCAAACATTATACAGGAGGCAATATAATGACCTAAACAATACTACTAACCACTACTGCATTCAAAGGAACAATTAAGAAGGATATATGTGTTTGAAGTGCATATGATAACTATTCAAGGATAAGCCAAACAGAAAAAACTTGAAACTAGAGTACAGATGAATCAGTGTTATAATATTTACAAGATGAAAAACTGTTTACATCAACAGAATACAAATATGTTAATTAAAAACATGCATTAATTAAGAAAACAAGCGATGTGACAACAGATAGTACACACACAACACTTACACTAAACATATGGCAGTGAAACTTCAAGGCAGTGAAATATCTTGACCCCACAATACATGCACTCAACACAGGCAATGTGGTGGATCCCAGTGTCATGACCAGTAGAAATATGCACTAAGCACAGGCAGGGGAGTTATCAGGCAGGAACACGTTCTCACATCAGCACTACATAGAGCATTCCAAATGGATTCTTCACTGTAATACTTGTGTTCAGAGCACTGGAGAATACCCATTATGTCAACCTCTATACAGTTCCTATCACTATCTGTGAATACTTCCTGCACTCTATTCAACAATGGGAGTTTTTTTACATTTAATTTCTGAAGTACTTCACAGGCAAGACAAGAAAAGCTAATGAAGCATCCAACAAGGAGATGGCAATGACTCGATAATTCCACCCAAGATCCAACCAGGGAAGGCTTTGCCTAGGAAGGAGCTGGGATTTGGATTACAAAGCAGCCCATTCACAGCACTGTCAAGCCATGATCCCTGGCTAGCAGACTGCTGCTGCAAACTGGGAGCCAGATGTGCCAGGTGTGGAAGTAAACCAGAACCAGTATCCCTCGTGAAGAACAACCCTTTTAAACATACCAAGAGCCAAGTTGGTAGTTCCAAGTCATGGTAGGAAGTGTCTCCGATAAAACCTAGGTGAATCTTGTATAAATCGGTAACAAACCGCACCTTAATGCAAGGGGGGCGGAAGCAGATGAACATACACAAATACACAGCTGTAAGCACCTACAATCACAGGCTAAGTCTCAAAGTGAGATAAACTTAAAATAATAAGTCATTATTATGCACACACCTAACCCTGAAGAAAAATCAAAGATGGGAAAATCAAGCCACACACACACACACATGAATTATATAAATATAGTACAAGCCCACCATGTGGGTTTCAAAGAGTGGAAAAAGTCACTTGACTTTCAACTTTGTCAAGTCACTTTTGACTCGATTCCAGTACCCAGCCTGTTCTGTTCAGGTGGAGAAAATCCTGTGGCAGCTGGGAAGATGGCCAAGCATCCTAAGGGGGGTTGTTACTGTGATGATGATGCCTGAGGGAACTTAGTAAGACTTGACGTTTATATTTTCTCTTGGCTGGGGGTAATTTTAAGCCGAACTAAATATTCTCCAGTGCTTTCTAACACCAGTATGACTCTCCAGGGACCTCCAGAAATATTCCACTAGGCTGGTATCAGAAAGTTGCCTTGCCTGTCTGTTACCAATTATGAGGAATTGCTAAAAGACTCTGCCACGATCAAAGGTGCATCCAAGAGTGATAGCCCAGAAAGCTTTACGTCAGCATAGAATTATAAATATATAATACAGCAAAAGCAACTGGTGATGTTGGCTCAACTGCATCTTTCAATAACAGAGCAAATAAAAGTTTAATGCTAAACAGTACATGTTACTCAAAGTAGTAAGCGAGAACTTTTGGCAGTAACTTAGTATAAACACAGTTGAAAATATTAAACAAGTATCGAAAGTCAATAATTAGGGTCACAAGTAAGTGTCTGATAGAATAAAAAAAACAGTGCACACTGTCATCAAATGAAGTAGACTGCCCAAAATTACCCTCTTTATCCTGGAGTTGGGAAGCAAAAAGAAACTTATATTATGATCCGACACGAATATCAATTGTTCATAAAGGGAGGAATAAAATTAGGCCAACTGGAAGTGGAAAGGAGGGGTGAGAAGTAATGGTTCAATCCTTATATTACACCTTTTGTACCATAAACTTTACAAATCATTATGGTCTTCAAATCAAAGAACAAGTATCATTGATGGCACATCTACATTATAATATTTCCTTCTTACATTTCATTATAATCACAAAATTTTCAAGAAAAGATATTTCCTTTGCACATAAGGACTCGTATAAGGATCCCAAGGACACATGGTCATGGCATACAAGATACTGAGAAAGTAGCCAAGAAGTGTTTCATACATGAAGACTAGAGGACTCGGGTGGAAGCTGGATACACCAACGAGCCACAGGAATGTAAGGAAGTGTTCTTACAGAGAATAAGTACAACATTAAAATTGAGGAATAAAGTGAAGGAAAAGATGGATATTGAGGTCATGCCACTCTACAACTTCCAAAGAAGATATGGCCGAGTAATAACAAGAGACATTTTTACCCTGATATTTCCAATATTTACACAACTTAAAAAATATCAATGACTCTCACCATTTCTTGCCTCATGAGCAGCTATTAGTTCTACCAAGTGGTGGTTATTGTTAATCTCAGCACACATGATTGGTGTGAGGTCGGTGCGGTCGCGCACATCAGTAGGGACGTTAGCATCTAGCAGTACACGAATACATTCTTCCGATCCCACAGTGCAAGCCTGAAACAAAGTTTAAGCAAGAGCATCTTAAATTACATTATTCAAAGTAAGGTTGCCTTTATCACTTCTTCAAAATGTGCACCCCACAAACTGTAAAAGTAATACTGTACTATAATTTATTACTATTTGTGTTGAATATTTCCCCCACCCCAATATATTTCGCTTCCCAAGGCCTGGTTGACGACCGGGCCGCGGGGACGCTAAGCCCCGGAAGCACCTCAAGGTAACCCCATGGTATGAAAAATTTGTAGTCTGTCTCTTAGAACAAGAAAGTAGCAAAACCTGGAATAAAAAATGAACAACTGTACTCTTCTTGACTTCAAAATCATAGCAGATTGTCGATGAACTTGCTTAGCTAAATGAATTGTGGGGTTCAGTCCCCGAGCTCATTATGTGCCGCTGTAACCCTTTCCACTACTGCCCACAAGATGGGTATGGGGTGCATAATAAATGAACTAAACTAAACTAACTATAACTCTATCCTTATATTTTAGCTTTGAGACTTGCCCAAAAAGCTATGCATGTTGGTGGCTTAAGAATAATATACAGCACTGTACATGCACCTGCCATGTCACATTGTTCACATTACAGTAATTCAATTGTTGTTATCCACCATACTACTGTAATAAGAACATTAAGTTTACGTATTAAAATCATTACAAAATCCAATGTATCAAGTAAATAAACATTATAGATTGTATGTTTTATAAAGTCACTAATTACACAAAATGTTTCGGGCATAACTTAAAATAATGAGTAGTATCGATTTTTTAATTATTTTTTTTTTATTTTGCCAAGGTTGGCGAGTTTATTGGACAGCGCCACATCGAGTTTTACATTTCTGTGGTAATATTTAATATTTACAATAACATTTAAATTAAATTGTTTTTATTTATATAAAAACATCTGAAACATGATCAAGAGAAGTATTCATAAGTATGACTTGTGGATAAATTTTGACAGCCAAAAAGTCAAATACTGTATATAACAATATAGAATGCAGAACAACTAAATTAGTAATCTTGACAGTATGTACTCACAGCATGTAGGGCGGTGCGGCCACAGGGATCAGTACACGAGAGGTCTGCTTCAGCCAGTCGATAGGACAAGAGTCTCTGTGCATGGCCAGCTGCCGCTGCAGTCACAACAGCCTCTCCAAGTCTTGTTGGAGAATCGGTCAAATGTGCTCCTGTCCTGATTAGCAGGCCAATTATCTATAAGGAGAGGAATCCGTAGAGTCAGCTTACATGCAGACAACGTCACAAGTCTCAAAAGCACAATTACAGGTGGTGATTACAGGTGGTTATTAGAGGCATATAAAGGTCAATGTTATCACACAATTAGTATATCTGAAGGTTTTTTCTCTCTTATCCCTTTTGCTATTATCTTAAAAGATGAACCACAGTTAACATAGTTTTAGTACAATAAAACTGACAGTATTTCCATTACAGTATATTTTTTTGTATCAAGTTACGACATAACAGAATTTACAGCAATTTTATTAAAAAAGCATGCCACAATACAATATTCATAATCCCCACATATTCTTGAAACTTCCTCTGGTCAAGTCATACTTTACCTTCATATCTTGACAGTCAAGTTACCAGAGATCTTAATCACCATTAATGGATAATATGCATGCATACATACTGTATACAATATACTGTACATCCCTGGTATGTATGTACTGATTATTCTGTACTGTATTATATACCTCAGGTTATACACACATGTAAACACAGTACAGTATAAATAAACATTTACCCATGAAGGAAATGAAATGATAAATTACTCTAGTGCTTTCATGTGTGTATTTCAACTTGTCTTCTGAACATGTACAAATACTTAAGTAATTTCTCGTTTAATTATCCTTCATGGTCATACCTTTTCACATTATCCTCCACTTATTAATTACTTTGTAATTTATGTACATACAGTACATACATGTGTGTGCTTGAATGTGTATGTATTTATTAAATATCTGCTCTATACCTTGTGGTAGTCATTCTCAATTGCCACACTGAGGGGTGTACGTCCTAACTTGTCTCGGACGTGAACTGAAGAACCGTGTTGAAGCAACCAGGTCACAACCTCACTCAGGCCTTCATTACATGCCATGTGTAGAGCTGTCCAGCCAGACGCATCCTGCAGATTTATCTCTATGCCCTGTAACATGTAACAAACACAATGTAAAAAGTGTTCAGACAATATCTTTGAGCATCGAGATATCATTATTAAAATAAAATTGCCTTATTTCCTTAGAAATCCATTTTCCTTAGTTTGAGGTAACTTACATCATCATTTGTGTCATTGTCTATGTATAGTACAAGAGCAGACCAGTTATATTTTGATGTAAACTGAACCATCAGATATTAGAAGGTCTTTTTAAGCAATCTTCATGCCCGTGCATCAACTGTTGCATTATTTCATACTTTTTTTACCTATTGACCTAAAAGTAACAAGTTGCAAAGCTCAGTCATAGTTCTCTAAACTAGCTGTAGCCCAAAAATAAATATGGTTGCCAGAAAGATACCAAAACCAGATCGGGTGCAGTACACCACAAAGACATGAGAAAAGTTTGTAACTCGTGTCTTCCCCATTAAATTTTGTACCCACATAGCTGTCTAACAAAACTGACTACATCACTGAGCTGCTGCATCTGAACTCTTTACTCTAGCTAAACATATAATGGTCAATAGCCAAATACTGTGTACTGTGAAAGACTAACAACTTATACAGCATCTTGTATCCAAGGTGTCTACGTGGTACTATAGCCTAATGCATTTCTTCTCTTGTTACTGTATTTCAGAGGTAAAATCCTCTGTTATATATATTCAAATTGGTTTGTTACTTTCTTTATCATTGGTCCAGGTAATGTAATGTAATTTTACAAAGGCAAATTAATTTTGTAGCCATAGTAAATGGTTAGAAGAAAACATTTGCATTATATATTCAAAGAAAGCCTGTGTATACACAAAGCAAGGAAAGGCTTGGAAAATCTTACATTCAATGTACAGTTTCTTAATGTTGTGAGAACCCAAAATAGTTTGAAATATATCTTGGGTTTGCATTAAAAAAAATACACGACTTTTGTGCTAGAAAGCCACTTCGTGTCCAGCCAGAAGATCCATGCAAGACAAAAATGTAACAATAGAAAGAATTGCATAATTAAAATAAATGGGCTTACCGAAATAGCCGTCTGGAGCAGGAAATACGAACATGGCATATTAAAGTACAACTCTTTCTGATGCAGTTACTGATGCTATTCTCAAACTTAACAAGAGCTGCACCTATGCCAAAGTGAATCACTCCAATACTAGATGTTAATGTTAAACACACACACTTTTTGATAGGAGCGCACAACCATCATTAACAATGTTACCCAAGTGTAAGCATAATGTAGAATTAATCTAGATTACTCACGTTATGGTAAATTTCGTCAAGGCGTGCTATGTCTGCATTTACAATCGCAGTAAAGAATAGCGTAGGAATTAGAAGCTCCTTGACATGTTCAATGTCATCACTGGAGGACAATTGGAGAACACGAGCAATGGAACTTATGACATCCAATTCCCTAGTTTCCATCTCGTCTTCCTGGCTGACTGCGGTCATTTCACCTCGTAGGTTAGTAGTCATCATCTGTTATTACAAACACCATGACAGCCACTGCAGAATTACTTAACAATATGAAATATTATAAAGAATTATTATGAATAAATATTACAAATTTATACAGCGAGCACAAAGCATAATCATAATTTTGATTATGAAATTTTTTTTAAATACTGTATGGTACAGTACCTGTTTTCAGAATAATGGCTACCCATTCATAGTTTTTATACACAGGAGCTTTCACAAAAACACACACACACACACTCAATGCAAAATGTAAGTAACATTGAAATACAGTACAGTTAATAGTAACATTATATTTAATGGTCAACTATTATGTACTGTATTGCTACCAATGCCCACACTGGGCATTAGCAGCAATAACTGCATGCCCACACTGGGCACTGGCAGCAATAACTCCATGCCCACACTGGGCATTAGCAGCAATAACTGCATGCCCACACTGGGCATTAGCAGCAATAACTGCATGCCCACACTGGGCACTGGCAGCAATAACTGCATGCCCACACTGGGCACTGGCAGCAATAACTGCATGCCCACACTGGGCACTGGCAGCAATAACTGCATGCCCACACTGGGCATTGACAGCAATAACTGCATGCCCACACTGGGCATTGACAGCAATAACTGCATGCCCACACTGGGCACTGGCAGCAATAACTGCATGCCCACACTGGGCACTGGCAGCAATAACTGCATGCCCACACTGGGCATTGGCAGCAATAACTGCATGCCCACACTGGGCACTGGCAGCAATAACTGCATGCCCACACTGGGCACTGGCAGCAATAACTGCATGCCCACACTGGGCATTGGCAGCAATAACTGCATGCCCACACTGGGCATTGGCAGCAATAACATTCTGTACTTCTCAGCATCACCCAACTCCTAGTGAGCAAATTAATCTCAACAAACACACTGAAATGATAGTTAATTTCCCTTATCTGGGACAGGAAGTTTGTGCTGAGGCTTCCCAAGGCCACTAACTCCCATGGTCAAACTACTGACCTTTCCCAGGATATAACCCACAACAGTTGTCTATCTCGAGGGGTACCTATTTACTGCTAGGTGAACACAGGTAGGAAGTGAAAGTAAATGTCTCCAACCATTTCTGTTCTGCCCAGGGACTGAACCTGGGATCCTAGGGTCAGATTCACGAAACCACTTATGCAAGCACTTACGAACGTGTACATCTTTCCTCAATCTTTGATGGCTTTAGTTACATTTATTAAACAGTTTACAAGCATGAAAACTTCCCAATCAACTGTTATCGTTATAAACAGCCTCCTGGTGCTTCGGAGCTCATTAACTGTTTAATAATTGTAAACAAAGCCGCCAAAGATTGAGAAAAGATGTACAGGTTCGTAAGTGCTTGCGTAAGTGCTTTCATGAATCTGGTCCCTAGAATGTAAACCATTGTGCCGTACTACAGGACTTTCCTAAATGTATCCTTAAAATTAATATGACATTTCCAGTCATAGCTGCCATGACCTTGACAATAAACCTTAATGAAAAAATGGCAAAATGATCTAATGCTATATCTAAACTGTACTAACCACTTTCTTGGTCTCGTTGTCCCACTCCTTCTTGGCCAAGACATAACTGAGTTTGGTAAGGGCTGCCTCGGGGGTCATGTCAAGACCGGCCATCACCCCTGCCTCCACTAAGCCCTGACAAAAGAGCAAAAATACAAAAGATAACAATAATCCCTAGATATGGATATATTAGATAAGATTATTGTAAATTATCTTACAGCATTTATTTGCATGCAAGGAGTTGAAGCCAATTTTAAACTTAAAAATATAATGACCATGCAGTACAGCTAAAATTTACATTTGCAATTGTCTTAGTGTACATTTTTAACAAAGGGTACAAATACCTCTCCTGTCTCATACACTGTATCAACAGAACCGTGCATACACTGCGTAATGTTGACCAAGATAACTCCTCGCTCAGTTGCCTCTTTTAGTACCTAAGGATATAAACAGTGTACAGTAATGGAATTATGAAATTTTATCTTAATATAATAAACATTAATAAGAGCAATTACTGTACAGTAACGTAATTTAAATGAAAAGACACAGAAGCAAAATAATAAGGTGGAAAAAACAATATTACAGAATTCAAGAGAAGACACAGAAAGTCAACAAAACTGAAAATGCTGGTAGAATTCTTATTATACACAAATCAAGATGAGGAATGCTGTCTAGCTTAATAGAAGATTGTGCTACATAGCCTTCCCGGCTTGGTGCCTTCTTTGATAATTACTTAATAGACGATTATCTTGATAAGGAATGCTAGACATCATGCCTTACCTAAATCCACTTTCCTAATGATAAAAAACTGAACAACAAAATAATGTCCTGTAATTATACAAATTCTCTCCTAATGAGATTAGCCAGAAAGTTAAATAATTATGGCAGTCAATACTTGATACCGATTACTCAGATTACCCATAAAATAACTGAACAACTGTGATGATCTTCCAAATGATGAGTCAAAACAGACGATCAAGTACACAGAACATATTAGAGCACCAATCAAGAACTTACTTCCATAATATCAGTTCGGTTAGAAGGCATGTTGCCAGCACCATAGGTCTGAATCACTGCTCCAGCCATGGGAGGTTGCAGGAATGAACGAACCGTATCAGCAGAAATGGAGGGAAATATCCGCAGAATACCCACATGGCGGTTCAGACTGTCAAACACCGTGAATTTCTCCAGGCAGGTTGGACGGAACACAGAGCGGTAATCAACTGTAAATAAACATTCAGTTACACTTGACCATGTATCAAATAAAATAAAACATGATTGAAATTAAAACCATCTTCATTTTACAAAAACCTACCAGTTTACACATGCTCAGACTCATTCACTTTAAATCATTTCGGAAAAGACCACTGGAAATATGATAAATATCATTTACAGAACTAAAACATTATTAGTATTACCAAGAAAATCCGTAGGAGCCGTGATGAGGGTTCGAACAGTGGGTGTTTCCATGCACATGTGCTAGCAACTAGACCATGACATCGTATGAGTATTGCAACCTGGAATTCCACTGCACAGACACACAAGGATTTCCCGAGGCTTCTACTGAACCCGGAAGAGGATTTTCACACAATTCCCCAATGCACTCTGGTTCTGTCATTTAGGCCTGTTCTACCTCTCATGCTCCTCTTTCAATACACAAAGTAATCACACCATTATCTTCAAACCCTAAAACTCGCTAAATTGTGAATATTAAACACCTGGCAAATTCTCCCTGAGAGCACCTGAGTGGCAGGGACATTTGGGACTGAACAATGTTAATTAACACAATCTGAATTAAACATTGTTCAACACCACTGCTACCATTGTAATGTAACACCATAAATAATTGTATTTAATATTTCACATATAATGAGTGTCGGTCACATAGGATATTGGCAGTGCCAGGCTGTCGGCCCTGAGCATTTTCAAAGTCACACCTTTCTAGTGTTAATTGTTCACAGGTTGAGTAGCGGTCAGGTCGAGTCAGGTGACCTAGCTCTCTGCTAAGCTGATAATTGCAAACGGGCGGCTGTATTGTTTCCTTCAAACAAGCCGCTGTCTAGGTGTGGTAGAAAGATAACCAAAGGTTATCTCATGGTAGGTGGAGTTTAGCTCCCAGTTTCCCCTTAAAATATCCATGGAACTGTACATTTGATATATACACAGATGGATAGATGCAGACAGAGAGAAAGAGAGACAGACAAACAGGGAGAGAAGAGCCTCACTAGGTCTACACAGGCCTGTTCCCCAGGCCGGTTGGGATTCTGTCAGCCATATCACCCCCTCCTTGCTAACCATCTTATAATAAGAGACTCTGATGAGAGTGTAAGATTGATGTGTACAAGTATTTGGTGTTTTCCAATTTAAAGTTCAGTATGAAAATAACCTTTAAATCTGATTTTCAGTCTCTTTCACTTTAACAAAATATACAATTTTATCTCTCACCTTGAATAGAGATGCCAGCAATAGCCAGCGGGGACATATTTGGGGAATCAAAAGCTTGCAGCCTGCCTGTAGATACTTTAGCGGTGCGGTTTCCCCGGTACAGCTTGTTGTTGAAGAATACCGTCACTTCAGGAATAGTGTAGCTCCCTGCCATTATCACTGACCCTACGAAGTTGTCTCTTCCATCACTTCGAGTCTCAAAAATGGGGATCTGAGAAAATCAGAAGCATGAGATAGTGGATTAAATATTAAGTGTAAGATAGTGGATTAAATATGAAGCAGACAATAGTGATAAATAAATAAATAAAACAATCCTTTGACTTTAATGAAAATAAAGTGGTTATTCAATTGTGTAAATCTCTCGACTACTCTCTCCAAGTAAGGAGACTTCATCTTCAGAAGGATCTATTTGCTTTGGAGAAAGTTCAACACAGAGCAACAAAAATCATCCCAGAACTAAGTCAACTGTCAAACAGGAACAGTTGAGGGCCACAGGACTAGCAACACTACAAACCAGACATGACAGGATTAATCTCGTTGAAACTTTTAAAATGCTGAACAAGTTGAAAGATATTAATCCAGACCACTTCTTCAAAAGGTCAAATGTAACATATACACGAAGCAGCAGCAACAACAAGTTCAACAAGCCACAATATAGGACAGAAAACAGCAGATGTTTCCTCACCTATAGAGTTGACCTTTTAACACGAACTGCATACACACTGAATCCATAAATGCCAAGGCATTGCTGCGTTTCAAAATCCAGTTGGAAAAAATCCTCAGGAAAAATGAGGGAGAACCTTTGGCAACCACCAGATTCTTGTCTCCATCATGACCACTAGAGAATTCAAGTATATATATTTGATTTATAGTCAGTAGTCATGCACAGGATTTTGAGCAATATTTGTGCATCTAAAACTGTACATTTGCATGTATACTTACAATTTTGTATCTATATTAGTTAAAAAGAAAAAAGTGCAGTACTACTATACAGTATATAAATATGATTAGTACATGTACTAGTGAAAAAAAAAATTAAATAGTGGATTAGTCCACTGCTAAGACTATAATAACCAATACAAGCAGATTTTTAAAGTACAGTATTGCCATTTATCATTTTCTCACAAAACACGATATACTGTACAGAGAACGAGTCACAATAACATGGTTGAAACAAATAACCCAACCCACACATACGAAATTAAATGATAGTGACAATGTTTCGGTCCGTCCTGGACCCCATCAAGATAAACAAAATACAGTATATTTAATAAATTGTAATTCATATATTACAAGACAAATCAAGTGCACATACAGTGATGAAGCATTGAAAATATAAATGCTGGTACTGTACAGTATTGTAAGATGTCTAGACATCCAATTAATACATTCTTTCTTTAATTAAGAGGTCTGCACTTGAGAAACTCTGGTAACTTATAAACATACATTACCTGGGAACCAGTTATGACGACAGGCTTGCCCAAGTTCTCAAGCATGAAGGAAAGAGCTGAAGCAGTATAGGCCAGAGTGTCCGTTCCATGCAACACCACAAACCCGTCAAACATTTCGTACACACCCTGAGGACAAATTGCAATCTTAACATTCTCATAAAAGGGAACACTTTAGTGGAAGTTCAATGATGTCAAGTTTGGAACCCAGGGCATTTGGTTGCAAGCCAAATGCACTAACCACTGTACATACAAAAGCTAAAACAAAAAAACAAAAAAAAAAACAAAAAAAAAAGTCATTTACCCGAATATCCTTAGCAACTCGGATCCAGTCATCCATTGTCATGTTGGAGGAGTCTAGGAGGGGATCATATTCATAAACCCAATACACCACTCGACGCTTCTCCTTGCAGTCCCTGTATATGGATAGTTTTATCAGGCAGGAACATAACAGCATCATCATCTTCAATTGTTTTGTGACAATTGCTGATATTCATGAACTTGGGAAATAGTTCTAAAATATTTTATGCAAACCCACTACAGATCTGGATATAAAAATGTGCCATCTTTGTTAGGCTTAATGCACGAGGCAATGATGTTGGAAAATGTAGCAGTGAAGCATTACTTGCTTATTGCAAGGTACTAATAGACAGAATTAGGACCATGTAAGAGATGGGCAGAATGCTGCATGTGACTGGACTGGGCAATTAAAGTACAATATGCTCCGAGCAATTGTCAGGTTATCAACTGCTGGCTGGATAAATATTGCAAGGCCAACTCAGTATTGTTTAATAACAGCTGAGAGGAATTCTTAGGCAAATGTGACATGTATACAAGGGATGGGGTACATCTGTTCAGGGTTTCACTTTTAGTGTAGTAGAAGGATCATTTGTCAGAATTTAAACTACTTGAGGATAGTGGTCTGAGTGCATGGTGGCAGAAAAAGTAGCAGAAAATTGTTGGCATCAAAAACAAGAAATTTCAGGGAATTAGGAAGTACAATATTCTCAAGATTATACTGTATAAATATACACATGCTCAAACATAACCCAAAGAGAATATTACACACACGTAGCAGTAAAATTATAAATAAAATGAATTACAGGTACATTTTTGTTCACAAAAACAATGCTATTGCAATCACAGAAACATGGATTATTGTAGAAAACAGGGAACTTTGTAAAATACCAACTCACGGATGCTATTTTTTCAAACTGATAGGCAAATTTGATGGACGTTAGAGGATTAACAATATGTTAGAAAAGCAAAATATATACATACATGGTGTCAGAGAATTAAAGCAGGCACAGAGAAACAATTTGGATTAAATTTAATGAAGCTAATGATAGTTATATTATAGAGTACTCACTGGAAAAATACTTAACACACAAGAGATACTTGAATGCAACTGATGGTAGGGGATTGCAAATTCTACAAGCAATTCTCGTGAAAGAAAGAAAGAAAAAGAGACTTGCTATAACATACAAACTTATGTCATAACTACCAAATGAATAACATTGCAGCAAATTGATGAACAAAAGGACCTTGGAGTCAAAATCCACTATGCACTGAAAGTTGAACAAGAGGGAAGAGCAGCAGTAAAAAAAAAACTAATGAAACCTTAGGAATAATCAAGTGTACATTTGACTTTAAGGACAAAAAAAGGTGGTGATTCAATCATATAAATCTCTGGTGCGCCTCCATTTGGATTATTGCAGCCAAGCAAGGAAACCTCATCTTCAGGACATAGCTGTTTCGGAGAAAATACAACACTGGGCTACAAAAATCATTCTAGAACTAAATCAACTCTCAAACCAGAAATAGTTGAGGGCCACAGGGCTAACACTTCAAACCATGCATGACAGGGCAGATCTCATTGAAACTTTTAAAATACTGAACGAACAAATCCACAAGGGCTGTGACGAGGATTCGAACCTGCGTCCGGGAGCATCCCAGACACTGCCTTAATTTGATGCATCACGTTAGTGTGATTTCTGTGTGTACTGAACGATTTCAGTATTCAGAACGAAAAAAAAAAAAAAAATTGGAGGATGTTGATCCAGACAATTTCTCCAAAAGGTCAGATGTAACACAAACAAGGAGCAACAGTTTCAAGCTCAACAAGCTAAAACACAGGGGATGCTTTTTCACCCACAGGAGGGGTCTGTCCCCTGTGGGTGGAACCCATGGAACTGCCTACCCACTGTAGCCGTAAATGTCATAATGCTGTTAAATTTTAAAATACTGTATAGGTGAAAAAATCAACAAGGCAAACGAGAGACATTAGACATGATGCCAGTTTTCTGTCCTCATTGAGGCCGCTAGTGTGTTAGTGGCCCCTCAGGTAAATTCAAGTATATTACACACCAGTTGCCCACTCCAAGAGCCTGACAAGTTATCACAGATCAAACTTGGCTCCAGGTCAGGTTTGGGTAGTAGAACTCTCAGAACCAACTTCAAATATACTTCTTAAGCTAATCTTCCAGTATTCATGAGAAACCCTATCATATAAAGTAGTACACTCATATATATTGAAAAAGACATATTCGCTGATCATAGCATCCTTCACCAAGGGCTGACATCACAGCCTGACCTTCCCTTCAATATATGGCGACAGCCAAACCTTCTTGATGCCATATGATACTACAACTGGCGAAGCAAGTCAGGAGAACCCTAAAGAGACATTGCATGTATCGCACAGAAGAAAAGATGCAACAAGAGAGAAGTGAAGACACTAGGCAAGACTGTGACAGTAGGCAGCGAGCGTGAGTCTAGGCTAAGCCGAGGTAGTAGTCCTGAGACTCACGGGAGAACAAGAGGAGGGTTGTTGAGGCCATTGAAGCGTTTGGTAGCATAGGTCTCATCATGCATGTGTGGGTACCGGCGGATGTTGGCCTCCAGCTCCTGGGGTATGGGCGCCAGCTCTGCAATACCAGGTATTTATCAGAATAAGATAATAACAATGCAGTTTACAACAATGATAATTACTAAATGTTTATGATTATTATTATTATTTGCTTGGGGAGTCTTAAACAGATTTACGTCAATAACCAGAAGCTCTGCCCAGCATCAAGACTGCTATGCTGGCCAAACTTTAAACTTAAACACATTTTTTAACACATTTTTTAACTTAAACGTCTATATAAAAGAAATTACTGATTTAGAAACACTTACTTCCCCTGTCATTGCGTACCATGCCAATGGTGCCACCAGTGTAGAGTACGAGTACTCTGGACTCTGTACCCAGCTCAGTGTCCACCACAGACTCTATGGATGCCCTGTGCCCATACAGAATCTGCCAAAATACACAAGTATATAAGGATTGATCGATGGGTTGATTGACGCCATCATTAATAACTAAACCTGTACTATTATTACGAACTGCCGTCAAAATTTAATACAGCAAAATTGTATATCATGTTTACTTAATTTAAAAATACCCACTATGTAGTTGCATATTTAGTTTTCAAATACGATGCAATAATTGTCAGTCATTTTCTAATTCTAATCCACTCTATTATCTTATAAATGTCATAATGTCTCATGGAGTTTTAAGACTCGCCCCATTACGCTTATATATATATATATATTAATTGTTTTCTTAATTTTTATATTATACTTGAGACGCTGTGCGTATTATAATGTAGGCACTGCACACATGTTACTTGTGAATCCTCCACTATTCACTAAGCATTTTTATGTATATGCTTTTGCCTAAATAATAATAATAATAATTATTATTAGTGAGAATAACAGCCGGTGAAGGTATCCTCTATTGTTATGATACACTACTAGTATGGTACCGGTTCACTGCATGGGCTCCTGCACCATTGGGCACTAACAGTGTAACTTGTGCATTCGGTTATGTAACATTACACAAATAACCAGATGTAGCCAGAAAACCGTGTGATGGTATATTTAGTAAAGCATAAGGCCGGCCACACACGTGGTTTTAACTGACAGTTATGACTGTTCAGTTATAACTGTCACAGTTCAAACTGACGTCAGTTAAAAATGAAATGCACACACACACACACGCAGTTCAATCCCTCAGTTTTACCATGGATTCCGAGGAGTACGATCTTGCCGCTCTTGGTGTATTCTTTGTAATGCTACAAGCAAATAGAAAAAAGAAAACTAAGAAGCGTAAGCAGTGGTGCAAAAAGTGGTTACTAAGGCGAAATCAATGTTCTGATATTAAATTGTTAAAAGAATTAAGTGAAGAACCAATTGATTTTCTCAATTATTTGCGCATGACTGAAATTGCCACAGGCAAGGTTCAGAGATCGATAGAGTTCAATGAATTCAACAATCACTTGGTTTTGTTTACGTGCCATCTCAAACTGCACTCACCGCTACCACCTGTAGAAATGAGAAGTTGAGAACTGTACAGTTACGAATCCCCACACACGCTCAGTTCAGTTACTCCTTTCAGTTAAAAATATGGAACATTGCATTTGTCGCAGTTTAACTGTACAGTTCTGTTGAACTGACGAAATGAGCAACTGAGATACCCACACACGTGCAGTTTTAACTGACAGTTTTAACTGAACAGTTATAACTGTCAGTTAAAACTGCACGTGTGTGGCCGGCCTTAGCGTAGTAAGCTACTTGCATGGTTGCCAAATACTCAGCTTCTAGTATTGATGAAAATATCTCCCTAACCTAATATAACACCCATACTACCAAGTCAGTAAACAATATAAAAGGCTTTTGGTGATACAAGAAAGACAAGAAAAAAGGCTTTTGGTGTTAATAGTGTCAAAACAGTAGCAGTTACTATAATTTCTTATGTAAAGTGTTGTGAATTAAACATTCGAAGTGTGTTGTTTTGGAGGGAGGGAATTAACAGGAGAGAGCGCCAAGATAATTTGTCAGATAATTAAAATATTTAACCCCAAGGTTGTTAATGATACTTATAAGTAGTGAGTGGATGGTAGGCAGTGGCCTTTATAATGTTAACCTCGTATATAAAAGGTGTATAATAGCCTAGCGGTAATATAATTAATATTTAGTTCGTATAAATTATCTACAACTAACAAAAACAGATTATTTGTAGTTATAATAAATACACATGTAATTCAGCGGTTTAAGGGTTAAGGGGACATTACGAGCTATGGGTACGGACTTACCTTTGGCACAAAGGTAGGGTCGACAACTTCTACGTCATAACTAGCGCTGATCTCGTCCAACGACGTCACCGACGACGACGTCCTGATCATTGCTCCTGCTTGATGTCCTGGGAGGACTATAGAGGTATCCTTTGGCAGGGTCTCCAGGGTAAGCGGACCGTAGGAGTCACGGGGTGTGTGACTGGACCGTGGCAGGTCACGGGGTGTGTGACTGGACCGTGGCAGGTCACGGGGTGTGTGACTGAACCGGGGTGTGACCGCTGGAGACAGCTTCAAGCTTCCTTTACTTGGTTTTATACACAAAGTTTGTGAAGTTCTTCAGCGTTCCCGAGCACAGAGATGTGATGTCACAATATGTTCAGCCACTCAGTGTACTACTATACACCTGATTGTAACAAATAACAGTAAGAAACTTAGCATATCCTCGCTCTCATAATTTAAAATCAAAGAACACAAGAATTATATTTGCCGTAAAGTTAATATGGTAGAAGTTGAAACTTTTGTCAGGTCTACGGGTCTAAGGTCACTTGCGCCATACACATATAATGTTAATCCAAGAACCAACATATGATGTAATCAAATCAGAGGAGACAAGACCTCTGTGACTCAAAAGTCATAGGATAAGGATAAATCATACAACCTATCTTCTATCTATGGATATGCTGCTCCCAAAAGAGGATCACCCCCAAGCCTCGTGCACTACTACGAAATACGCAACAGCAACCCTCACGGATGGTGGATTATAGAGGTTGCAGCTCAATGCACAAAAAAATATGAAGTCAATGTTGCATTAACTCCCGGATTACATAATTCTGTAACCAGAGAGGGGGATTATCACATTGCACAATGCTGGATGATGTCACACAAAACGATAAGCAACGAACCGAAAGAAAATCCTCTCTTAAATTCTACGAACACTGGCATATAGGACACTTTGGGTATCTTTTAGCCCACGCTTGTGTTGCTTTTAGTACGGTATACATGTATCATATGTATTATTTGTGTTTAGTGATTGTGTATATACTGTTTTAATATGGAGAAGGTAACAAGGCGCTAGTAGAAAGAAAACGGTCAAATTCAAGTATGTTTAATGAGACAGGAAAGAAATACATCTCAAAGGGATAGAGTAGCTTAAGCTATTTCTACCCCCCTAAAAGCGGTCTTTCTAGGTTCATGAATTGTATCAAATCTGCTTCAAAGATCATAATAATTGCAAACGTTGATCTCGACCTGATAGCACACCAGAATTTGCAATATCGGCGAAAAATTGCTCAAGACGGTAACAATGGGAGTCCCAGGGTGCAGAAGATGCATTCTGACGTTACAGCTCTTATGAAAACATGTTAGGCAAGAGATCACATTCAACAACAATGTTCGACGATCATCCCTATCTCTAAAGCCAATGGAGAGTACAGACCTGTGTACGAGTAGCTGAATCAATCTATAACAAATGGGCCAATCACACAGCACCGCTCCTGTGCCAGGTAAGTCCACTACGGGCTCACCATAGCTCGTGCTACTTGGAACTTGTTCCTAAAAGCTGAATCTATAACAACAATGAACAATGTATGATAAAGAAGAGAGCATAATTTAACCGAGCAGCCATCGCGGCTCAGTCTTTGATCAGGCCTCCAAGGTTGGTAGTCTGGTCAATCAGGCTGTTGGACAGCTGCTCGTAGCCTGACGTATCAACCACTGCCTGGTTGATAAGGTATCCTTGAGAGGCATTTATTAAGTTCTCTTGAACGCTGCGAGAGGTCGGTTAGTTATCCCCTTAATTCGCGGCCTGACCTCCTTCAGCACTATCTGGGTGGATGTAAATGGAGGCTGTTTAGTATGGGTCAATATCCGTGGGTCAATAGCCTTCTGCAGTTTATTCTTATACTGTTAGGTAGATATTGCTAGAGCCATTTGTAACTTTAAAGCAGTTCCCGTGGTGTAGTGATTAATTAAGACGCCTGGCGTTTCGCAAGCGCTTTTTCCTGGGTTTGTATCCTGGCCGGGGAGGATGTACTGAGCATCAATCCTTAACTGTAGCCTCTATTTACCCAACAGTTAAATGGGTACCTGGGTGTTAAACGATTTGGCGGGTCGTATTCCGGGGAACGTAGGCTACTACGCTATGCGTGCTAGTGACTGTACAAGAATGTAAGAACTCTTGTATATAAATACAATACAAAAATAATAACTTTATCGAGCCTATGCGAGCAATCATTGACGAAGTTGATGTGGCTTTCCTATACTCAAGTTCAAGTATGTTTATTGAGATAAGAAAGAAATACATCTCAAAAGGATAGAGTAGCTTAGGCTATTTCTACCCCCCCCCTTTCCTATACTGTAGGTTATTGCCTTCATCAGTGAGGACAAAAATCAACGTAATCAGACACTATTAAAATACTGTGTAAAAAAGTAAACAAATGAATATACCAGCACTGTGGCAGCAGTAACAAGGTTCCCCGATAAGATTACCGGAAACGTGTCACATCCAGAAACCTAGCGAGTCCGGTATCTAATCCTTCAACCCCTCCTCTCGAATAGTGCATCGCATTTTGACGTCCAATTTGGGCCCCAAAGGCAAAAAAATGATGTTATAATAACCCTAGCGGCTCGCAAAGTGGACGGGATGTCCCGTTTTCTATTCGTGGGGGTCCTCGGTTAAGTTTAGATTCGGGCAATTTAGTACATCAGTTTTAATAATAATAATTTTGATTTAAGAAAAAAGTACTTACATACATACACACAAGAAGGTTGCATGATTCATGAATCATACAACCTTCTTGTGTGTATGTATGTAAGTACAAGTACTGTATAATATCTAGTCACTAATGCACACAGCGTGTTGTGACGAGCCCTGGAGAGGACGAAATGAATGAACCCTTCGTGAGTGTTGCTTGTTTTATAACTAGGCCGAAGTAATAGGAGTCCAAGAGAGTGAATTAGCAAGCGCGTACGAGTGCGCGTTGTTAGTGTATTATATACTATACAGAAATCGAGATCTCTGTAGACATATGCGTGAAGAGAAGAGTCCTGCAGGTAATGACCCGTGTCAGCTAATTTTGAGGTTCCATCTGATGTGATCCTCAGGCCAGGCCCGTTAAAGCTGCGGCCCTCCACACCCAAGTACTCCGTCCCCATTTAAAAAACTTTAACATGCTTTATATTTAAAATAGGTTTGTTCTAATATACAAGTTAATAGCATTATTCTATTCGAGTTCTAAAGTTAGGCATTTGTTACATTAGGTTTTTTATTATTATTATTTTCTACTACAGACGTGGCCACACATTTACAATGCTAAGCAGCATATATACATTTTCTTCTGTCCTCCATGGACAGGGTTAGAGTTGTGTTAAACATATAGTTCTGGCTGGAGCTGCATACTTTGTAGAAGGACTTTGTAATAAACCTACAATAGCAAGCACGTAATTATTGAACAATCAACCACAGAAGGTGATTCGGTGCTTTTAAAATGCTAAGCTAACCGGTTTATGTTGATTATTTGTGATAATCAAACCCGCTTTGAGGAGCCTAGCCCGAGGAAGGTTGCGGAGGGGATCCCACACCCGTCCTACACACCGCCACACAGTTTAATTAATTAATGATCCACGCGAGTCAGGTGTTCGAGGCCAGTATCACACACCCTGGTGCAGACTTGGCTACTCGGGAGTATTATACTGGTTTTAACCGACTATGGTGAATAATTACTTACATGCTCCTAAGATATGGTGAAGGCGTTGGTGATTTTTTTATAAAAAAATTTCTTATATTTTTTATATTTTTAGCTGGTCATTTTTTTTATAAATTTTGCAAGTATTTACCTACTTAAAATTTTCTTAAGATTAAGGACCTGCCCGAAACGCTGCGCGTACTAGTGGCTTTACAAGATTGTAATTACCATATTATGTATCCTCACAATCCCAATGTACCTTCTTGTATATGCATAAATAAATAAATAAATAAATATGCTCACAGCCTGTACAAATTAATCTATGTAAGTAGCTTATCAAAACTCGCGTAGCTAAATGACTTTTAGGGCTCGGTTCCTGGGCCTAGTCTTTTTAATTTTTTAATCTTTATCATCAGAATTAAGACAATTATAAAAGGCATATGGGGATTTGTATGCAGTTCTTATTTATATAATAAGTGTGTTAGACTTCAAGGTAACTGCAGAAGGCCTATTGGCCCATACGAGGCAGCCCCTATTTATACCCACCACAAACTTACTCATATATATGTCTAACCTACGCTTGAAACAATCCATAGTCCTCGCGGTTACGTTACCCGGGTCCTATATTAACGCGATGGTCCCGTTTAGTTTAGGCGAAGTATTGAATTAATAGCAACATGAGCGCTTAAGATCCCTTGTAACCAGTGTCTACTCTACTGATCTACACTAATCAGGGATGGGGGGGGGGGGCGCTCTCTACACTGAGGCGGGATTCACAGAGCATTTCTCCTCTTATATGCAGTACCTCTTACCTAGATCCTGCGTGTTTACTGTGTGTTTACAAACAGTTTGGGAGCTCAGAAGCGCAGTAAGGTCGGCCTTAATCCAATATTATTATGAATGTCCTTGAAGCGCTTGGAACTCTTAATCTTAGTAAATACACACAAACCAAGGACAAGCTGTCTCCACGCCCCCCTGCCTACCTACACGCACTCTCCACGCCCCCTGCCTACCTACACGCACTCTCCACGCCCCCTGCCTACCTACACACTCTCCACGCCCCCCTGCCTACCTACACGCACTCTCCACGCCCCCTGCCTACCTACACGCACTCTCCACGCCCCCCTGCCTACCTACACACTCTCCACGCCCCCCTGCCTACCTACACGCACTCTCCACGCCCCCCTGCCTACCTACACGCACTCTCCACGCCCCCCTGCCTACCTACACGCACTCTCCACGCCCCCTGCCTACCTACACGCACTCTCCACGCCCCCCTGCCTACCTACACGCACTCTCCACGCCCCCCTGCCTACCTACACGCACTCTCCACGCCCCCTGCCTACCTACACGCACTCTCCACGCCCCCCTGCCTACCTACACGCACTCTCTGTTACGTACCCTTATAAGATACGTAAGTGAATATATTAATATGTACATTTATAATTGTATGTCAATTACAAGCATGTATATTGTTATACTTATATGTTCTATGCAAATGCACATTCATGTTAGTGTTGGCGTTAGGCCCAGCGTATCGTGGGAATGATTGTTTATTTCTTTGTGTGATCAGTTTTCCCACGGGAACTAATGATTTATATGTGATCATAAGTGGGTAACAGAGTGAAATAATAATTGAGTGAACTGTATCTGGCAAATTGTCGTGGGATCGTCCGTTGCTGGGTGTGCATGCCATTATTTCTTTCTGTATGCATATTTT